GGGGGGGGGGGGGGTTACAATTGACAAGTACATAAGTGTATATAATAGCTAATTCCAGCTTTTAAATTGTGCATGCTGGGGATGATGGGAAGTAAGGTATCATATTGCTGATTATATATTGAACATTTTTTATAAAAACTGCCGAAACAACCAAATATATTTTAATATTTACAAGTATAAGGCCCCGTTTACACTATTCCGGATTACTTTTCATACCGGATTAATTTTTACTCCAAAGTAAAAAATCAAGGGTGTTTACACTATGCCGCTTCGCTCTGTTGCCAGCTCATGTCTTTCACTGTCGCCATGGAAACAAGTAGCCAATATACCAAAATTTACTAAAAACAAGAAGTAACACCCGTTTTCTTTGTAAAGTATAACTTTGTTTACAAAGCTTGACCGCCAGACGTTGCTTCGTTTTGCTGTAATCCAAAATTTCAGAGTATTTCTTTAAATTTTGCTCTTTCGAAAGCGAAAAGTCAGTGTTATTATCGTTTTCTTTACTTGTATTAGGCAGAAGTAGTAAATGGTTGCAAGGCGAAACAAACAACAGCTATAAAGTATTGTATTAAACGAGCAAATAAAGGCGACAATGTTAAAATTACATACACTCCCAAACCGATTTTGTACCGAAGCATACCGGATTAGCCTGTTTACACTGCTCCGGCACATACCGGATTACTTTTCATATCACCTCCAAAGCGGAGTGATTTTTGCTCCGTGTCGCGTACCGGATTACTGTGGCGTAGTGTAAACAGCAGCCGAATCCGGCATGAAAATTGCTACGCTCCGATGCAATCCGGTATAGTGTAAACAGGGCCTAAGCTGTCATTCTGTTTACACGGTAGCCATTTTTATTTTTTCAGCATAATCGCAATATGACACCTTACTTCCCATTGCCTCCTGCACATATAGACTAAAAGCTGGAATTGCCTATTAGCTTTCATCATATAAAGCGAAACAGCAATGCGGCCTACATAACAAAATTTGCTTCCACAATAAGTCAATAATTCCTATACTACTACTGAGTGGCAATAGACTTTGGTATAATTATACTAAAAGGATGGGTGTTTATACGATTTATGTTCGTAGTGATTTATTGTACTTAGTGCTTTGAAGTTTATTATGCCAGTTTCAGTTGTCTTATTTAACCCATTAAGCGCCAGCGCTCTCCCCTTGACGAGTAAAATTGTCTGGCGTTAGACAGAGTAAAATACCAAAGTGCTCTGCATCGGGGTGCATCGCCACTCACTGGGTTAACTAGACACATGGGTAGATAGGCCAGTTAACCCATTAAGCGCCAGCACTTTCCTCTTGACGAGTAAAATTGTCTGGCGTTAGACAGAGTAAAATACCAAAGTGGGCTGCATCGGGGTGCATCACCACTCAATGGATTAAATATTCTTTAGGCCTTTTGCCAAGTTCAGAAACATTTTTGAGGAATCATTGTCGTTATTGCAAATTTTATAACATACGCTTCTCATTGGCTTCTCATGTTGTGTAAAAGATCTTTTATGATCTTTACCCCGGAACACCCGATTTTTTCTTTTAGCAGTGCGAATGCGCATGCGCTATCAAGCTGCAGATCAAGGTGAAGGCTGTCTATATATCAGATACGGCAGAACACCTAGTCCCCAGGCCTTTCCATAATTTTCAGGTAGTTCTATCTCTCGAAATTTGCAGGTATATTGTTATTGTCTCTATCTACCCTGGCACAGGCCATTCAAGATTGCACTGTTAACTGTTTAATTAGCACCAAAGCAATCATGGAGGCAGGGATTCAGCATGATCTGGCAGGGGGGTGATCTGCCAGCTCTAATGCCGAGTTATGTTGGTCATGTCCGCCGTCCACCCATCAACTTGTAAGTCAAGTCTTTGCTTGACTACTGTATTTGAATTGTAATTGTTGTTCACAGTTCGCTTATCATGTCATCACTCAAATTACTGTCTCACTTTGTCCCTAATATTTTTTTGCCCATCATGAAAAATTGCACCCCCCTGGCCAGGGCTAGGGGGTGCACCCCCCAGTAAATCCATCGCAGCATGTTGGGTTTATAGGGGGAGGGGGTTGACAGAGGTACACACCCTTGGCCAACAGGGGAGTGTAAAAATCGGAAGGGGGTGGCTACATATTGTATATAATTAGTATTACAAATATATCTCCACCTTGTAACTTTATGTATTTCATGTGGTATGTGTAATTGGGGTTAGTACCCTAAGTATCTTACTCCTCAAGCAATGCCCGGTGCTGGGTTCAGAGCATAGAAATAATAGACATAGAATGCGTGCTCCTATCTTTTCTCAGTAAAAAAATTGTCTCCACAAAATGGCGCATTGAAAAGGGCATTTTGGTAAGTCCCAGACTCCTGAGGCAGGGAATTTCGCGCGGTTGTAGGGAGTGCGAATTGTTTTTCCAACTGAAAAGTTTGCAAAAAATTTTATATTGGGACTTAAAATGGAAAAAAAGTTTGGTAAACTAAGAAAAAGTGTCTAAAAACCCATTCCAATGGGTATTTTTTACGAAAAGCAATAGTTCTGAACAGAATATATGCAGAAATCGTCGTTTAAAAATAAATTTTCAACGTTATGTTGTGCAAGCCAAACCAAAACACGAAAGATCAAGACAAACTCAATAGGTATGTTCTACAATGGTGAAGTATGTTCTACAGGTATGTTCTACATGGTGAAGTATCTGAAATAGTCTTGACCAAAAGCTGGAAGCTTTCATCATATAAAGCAATGCGGCCTACATAAACAGCAATGCGGCCTACATAACAAAATTTGCTTCCACAGTAAGTCAATAATTCCTATACTACTACTGCAGTGGCAATAGACTTTGGTTTAGTTATACTAAAAGGATATGTGAGCGCCAAGATGGCTGCTGATTTATTGCTCCGCGACCGCGTGTTTGTAGTTTTATATCACACATTTTACTGTCTTGCATTTCATTGAATAAAAATGTCTCTGAGGATTCAAGTGCCTTATTCGATGAATTGGAAGGACATTATAGCTCATTTCTTGTGTTATATAATCGTTTTCGAGTTAACCCTCGACGATACGGCAGACTGGTCGTATCAAATTTTCGCTTGCACGAAAGTCAAGACGTCCAAACGTGGGAATACGAGCCTTAAATTTCCCAGAAAGGATCCTGTTACTAAACTAACAATTTGTGTGGATGTCGAAGCAAATCCTGGCCCAGAAACAGTTTCACGAATTGGCAATTTTGCCAATATAAACTCGAGCGTGTCATCAAGAATTGAATACTCTCGGGAAGCCATGATGTCCTTAAATCATTATTCAGTCAAACGTTATTCTGAATATAGTGATTTCCTTGTTTATAAATTACATACATCTGGTATTTTAAAGTACAGAGGTAGGAGAGGAGGCAAAACTCAAGGTGAATCAGGCTATAAGTATACAAATTACGAACCTAATCTCACTAATCGAATTCCAACCCGTATTACGGCTAGAAAACCCACCACATCAAAACTTTGTAAGAAAACTAACTTATCTATACTTAGACGGTTGCCATATTGATTTCGAAGTTATATGAAATTGCATCAATATTGTCTGCGAACGTCCGTGCCATCTCAAATAAACTAACCTGAGTATCAGGCTCTATTTTACAAATAGAGCCTGACACAAAACTTAACCTGATCAGCAAAGTTTATATTTAGTATCCAATCAAAATGTCGCAGGAGAAATTTAAATTTCACACAACGACAACAACAATCTAATTATAGCATAGGCAGCCCACTAAAGAATTTAAATTAAAACTGCAATGAATTTATAAAATTAACAAAAATAATCACAAATTAGCGAAATATATTGCAAATGTAGCTTATATTAAATCGTCACCCGATTGCTCTCTCATCCGCAGATATTTCAGTGACTACAATGAGCTTTACATGGCGCTTGCCATATTTATCAACAAACTGACGTATAATTATAAAGTATATATACATATTAAGTATACTTTATAACTATACGTCAGTTAGTCGACAGTGCAATCTGATGGCAATTTAATATAAGCTACATTTGCAATATATTTCGCTAATTTGCGATTATTTTCTAATTTTACTGCAGTTTTAATTTAAATTCAGCCGTTTAGTAGGCCGGCTATAATTGTAGTTGTGATCGTTATAAAATATATCAACAACAATAGTATAATCTAATTAGCACCGGCCAATCAAATGACAGATTTAAAAAATCGTTTGTCTAATCGGCCAATCAGCGCTCAGTCCAGATTCTGGACTGAATAACCAGGCAAAATGCCACTTTTGTGTCAGGCCGTACTTTTCTCCCCTTCGCCCGCAATCAGGCGTGCCTGTGCCCTAAAAAGTACGGCCTGATACTCAGGTTACAAATAAACTGGATGACCTGCAACAAGTTGCATCATTAAATAAGACCGGTATCATCTATGTATAACTGAGAGCTGGCTCAGCCCCTTAATACATGACTCAGCAATTTCGCTTCCCGGATTTCTTGTGTTTAGGAAGGACAGCAGTGACCGGTGTGGGGGAGGCGTTTGTGCTTACATCAAAAATAATATTCCGTGTAAACACATATGGTTGACTGTGAGGAAAGTGAAATTGAGTCGTTATGGCTGATGTTATGACCCCACTCATTGCCACGGAATATTGCAACCATTTTATTGGGCGTCATTTATCACCCAACGTCAAATAAGCAAAAAGAAAATATTAAGTTAAGAGATCATATCCGGATAAATATTGACAAATTCTTGATGAATCATCCAATTAACGCAATGATAATAGTGACTGGGGACTTTAATCCAACATCTACTGCATGGTATGAATAAAAAATCTATTAGTTCTATTAATAGTCTTAAACAGCTTGTTCACTTTAACACAAGAGACTCGGGAATCTTGGACTGTTTTTTTACAAATAGACCTAAGGTATATAAGCTTCAACAATTGCCCAAGATCGCGAGTTCAGATCACTATGCTATTTTCGCTCAACCAGTAACTAGGCCACCATCTAAGGTTGACTTTGTTAAGAAAATTAAGGTCAGACAATCTCGCGCTAGTATAACTGGAGAGAGACTTTGATGCTTATATTTCAACAAAAGATTGGTCTGGAGTTTTCTCAGCCGAAACCTGCGCATTAAAATACTATTTGTTCTCTCAAGAGCTATTAAAGCTTGGCAGTGGATACCTTCTTTCCTCGGAGAATAATTAAAATGCACTCACACGATCGTCCCTGGATCACAAAGCAACTTAAGCGTTGGATAATGAAACGTGAGTCCTCATTCATGAAACATGGAAAAGACTCAATTATTTATAAGTTTTCGCGAAATAAGGTGCAAACTGGGATTAAATTAGCTAAAAAGCAATATTATGAGTATAAGGTCTGTGATTTGGCTAAGAATAACTAGACAGTGGTGGAACCAAATAAAAGTGCTAACTGGACAGTGTACAAATAATGTCCAAGTTTGCATGGTATCATCAGTTCGTGAGCGATAATATACCGAGTACTGGTAATGTTATAGCTACAACAATTAATGACTTTTTTGTCAGTATTAGTCTATCCCATTAATACCACAAGATCTACCCCCTAATGTTATCTTCTCCAAATTATTGGTATCATACAATGAAGTGTTATCTGATTTGTCCAACCTTAAAACGAGCAAAGCCCCTGGTGAAGATATATATACCGGGTGGCGCAAAAAAAAAGTTAACCTGTTTGATTTATTTTAACTTAAAAACTAAAAGAGCTAATACACCTAAACTACGTGCATTGCATTCGGTATTGTCTAACTTAAATTTTGATATACGCCCTGTGCAATTTCGTACAATATTCACCGAGGGACCTTACAAAAATTTCACATGTGTGAAATCTAACATGTGAATTTGGAACATGTGATTTTTCACATGTGAAATTTCACATGTGAAATTATTTTTCACATGTTCCAAATTCACATGTGAAATTTCACACGTAAAACTTCACATGTGAAACACATAATTTCACATGTGAAATTTCACATGTGAAACTTCACATGTGAAACACATAATTTCACATGTGAAAAGTCACGTGTTCCAAATTCACATGTTCCAAATTCACATGTTCCAAATTCACATGTGAAACTTCACATCAGAAACTTCACATGTGAAACACATAATTTCACATGTGTTGACATGTGAAGCTTCATATGTGAGATATCACCTCTTCCAAATACACACATGAAATATCACATCTTCCAGTTTCACGTGTGAAATGATGCAAAGCTTCAATCATGCACATTAAACCTGTCAAACAGTGAGATACCGTACTGTAATCCTATGGTATAAATTTTAAATAATTTATTTATACAGTCAATTTCTACAAATGTTTAGCTACCATACTAAATAATTTATAATAAGGAAAAAACTTAGCAGTTCAAATGTCTTTTGCAATTTTTCTTCTTTTCGTATCAGCATTTCTTCTGTCTTTGCACTTTAGGGCCATGGCAGTCTTCACTGATGAAGCTGTTGCTCCCGCAAAACGTTTAGTCACATAAGCTATAGGAAAGGAAATACAAGACTATCATTAGCTCTACATACTTATTTCATGTACTGGTACTGGAACTCCACAGTCAGTTAACATTACAGTACTGTATATAGCACAAGTTCACAGTTCACATGCAGCTATATGAGCAATTTCCTCCTGTCCAACCTATAAACTTTGCAACTTATTATGAATGGGAAGACCTATAAATGTAGTACCGTAGCACAACACAACCTTTGGTTGAAGTTGGTTCTAGCTAGTATTATCATAATTGATAACCCTTGGTTCATATGGCTTTTACCCTGACTCGTCCCCATTAATGTATTCTCTGTGTGGGCGATACATGGCAAATTGGAAACTGCTGCAAGGCTATCTTCTCAACAAGTAAAACTGTAAAACTTCCTGGCATTAGACAGAGTACCGGTAATATAAAGTAGAGCATATTGCCAGTGAATGGGTTAACAAGAGAAATATGCACTAGATAGGATTTGCTAACAGGCATCTCAACAGCACCCCCAATATTTTGCGAGGTATCTGCTACTGGTTGTTGGTATTTGTGATTTAATATGCTATTGACTTGTTCCAGAAAACATTGAATAGATGCATAAAGATTATGTTTTAACCTTAGTTATATCGGAGAGGAGTGCTACTTGTTTCAGTAACCCACTAAGTGATATCACTGACAAGTAAAGTCATCTGACATTGGGTCATTCCAGAGAACATCCATACCTCCCCCGTGAAGGAAATTGGAAGTTAACCCCCTACAGGTGTATCCCCTTCGAAATTCGAATGTCCTAATACACTTACTATTATCAGAAACAATTTTTCTCCCCTCCGGACGGTAGAAATTTCCTCTGTGCCGAGGGGAGAATGGATCTTTTCTGGAACGACCCATCAGCCACAGTAAAACAATAAAGTTGTGGCACAATGCAGCTTATGCCATGTCCGGCCTTGTGTAATATCCAGTTAACACCCCATCTTAATGACCTGCCAAACTTCTTGAGAAGTATTCCTGTTTTATTGGGTTAATATGGCCATGACGTCATGTGTCTAGTGAACCCATTAAGTTGTATTGTACCCTTGTGTGTCCTACTTCCTTATTTTGCTGTCTTTTAAATGCCAAATTATTATACTCTGTCTAATCCAATTTTACTCTCAAGAGTAGACTGTTTTTATAAAGTCTGCAGTAATTATCCAACCCTTTGATCCATTTAAATTAAATTGCTTTTTTAAATAATTATTACAAAGTGGCTATATCTTCAGGCCCGTAACGTACAAGCATCATACTGTAGCCACTTTGTAATTATTATGATCCCGCCGGCATTATCCAGCTTGAAATATGAACTCTATCAACTGTTTAGTAATTAAAGTGAATTATTCTACTTCTATCTGGCCTAGACAGGATCCCACCTGCCAGGACAAGAAACTCTCATATAAGCACTGGGTGTATTGTGTCTATATTAAACACACCATCCTGGATTAAAACCAACTGTCCAGTCATGCCATTATCATATAAACAGACACATATATACAGGGTAAACTCTAGAAGGGTTTAGCTTGGAAATCCTTCAAACTCAAGCTAGGAAAAATTTATACTTTTTTTACCATATTGTGGGAAACACTAACCATTTAGTTGTAATGTGGCCTGATGCATTCAATAGTCGTGTTTACACTACTAGCCTTGGACTAGCCTTGGCCAACATTTTGACAGTGTGAACAGACTTTGGCCTACAGTAGCCTTGACCTGACCTAGGCCAGGAAATCTGGGCTCGCTACAACCGACCTGGCCTAAGCTTGTGGAAATAGCGTAGCCTTGTCCTGGCCTGGGCCGGGAAATCTGGGCTCACTACAGCAGACCTCGCCTAAGCCTAGGCTTGTGTAAATGTAAACACTTTCGGGTCGGGGCCTTATTTTCTTGGCAACATGTGTCCACAGTGAGAGATTAGTGGACAACCAGCAGACAACATCACAACACATAAAAATACACAAAATTAATAACAAAATTCCTGGCCAAAGTGGGCCCACTCAAAAAATAGTGTAATGGTGTAAACATGCCACATTTACCTTGGCCTGGCCAAGGCTAGGCTAATGCTTGTAGTGTAAACACCACTAATTTTACTCTGTCTAAACCGGCCAGTAACCCTAGGCAGAATTAATGCCTAGGTAATTTTACTGGACAAGGGGAGAGAGCTGGCACTCAATGACTTGAAAGACCTTGGAAATCCAGGTATTCCAGGGGAAAGGTGATTTTAAAAAAAGCACATTAATTAATACTCTCAAATAATCCTCATGTTTTGGGTCAAATAGGCTTGTAGGAAACCCATATTACATTCATATTCACCAGACTGTAAAGTAGTAGCTTTGCAGGGAATTAATTTCCCGCGCAAAAAATTTTCCAATTGTGGAAATCCGCGCAAAATGGCTTTGTTTTGAAAACCCGCGCAAAAATTCCTGTCAATCCGCTCAAAATGGCTTTGTTTTGAAAATCCATGCAAAAATTCTGAGAATTCGCTCAAAAGCCACATTCGTGGCGTTTCCCCCTAAAAAAATCCGCGCATTTTTACCGAAAAAATTGGGGTTTTTTTTATATTTTAAAAAAATCCGCGCATTTCTACCGAAAAAAAAGCCTTTCTCGCGCAAAGCTGCTACTTTACAGTCTGGCATATTCACATTTCACATATTGTTTCAAATAATACACTACATAATGTGCTTATTCAAAATTTGAATTGTTGGTTTTAACTAATATTTGGCGGCATTGAAATGAAATAATTTCAATATATAAAATCTCGCGCGCGGAAATTCAAATTTTAGCTGCCACATGTCCAGGCTAGTACAGCCACGAGATAAAATGAAATAATAGGGTCGATGGACGTTACAATTATATGATATAAAGAGTAATAATACATACCTGAGATCAATATAAGCCTTTAGCAAGACTTGTCAATTGTCCAATGCCAATTATAGTTTTTCTTGAGGGAAATATAGCTTTTCTTGAGCGAAATATATCCAAACGAAAAAATAAAAAGTTTGCAAATCACACTTGACATTTGATACGCGATATCCCACAATTCATTGCGCGCGTGGCACTTGCCTTCTAAAATAGATACGCCAAAAAGCGCTCCCTAGGGACTTATTAATATTAAACTTCATTTCAAAATCTTTTTCTGATTATAAGAATATCATTCTATGTTTGAAATTTTCCTCGAATATTCAAATTCATGCCTAAGTGGAAAATTTCCTCGAATAGTCAAATTCGTGCCTTGTTCTCAAAGATTTTTTCTTGAAATATTGGTTGAGACATATAATCACTTAAAGGTGATCTACAGTCCGTATGTAAACAAAGCCTTTGTTTACATTTTTGTGTCCAAAATATTGAGCTTTATTCGACAACTATTTATATTTTCAAGCTTCTAGAGTATAATAAATGATCAAGAAACAACAATCAGGCTTTTCAAGAACTCAAAACATAGTTAAACTGTTTGTAAATAAAAAGTGGGCTCAGTTGTGCACATGCGCAGATCGGACTGTAGATCACCTTTAATGATGACATTTTATAATAAAATCTCTCTTGCTTTGACCTTCTTTGTCCCATGCCCTCAAAGCAAAAAGAGCTTGATACAAGTTTGCTTAATTGAGAATACAAATCCTAGCTGTGGTAGTGCCAGATAATAAACAATTATTGAACGAGGTCCTGACTGGAAAGTTTGGAAATTTGCGCACCGGAGATTTCAAAAATGTATTAGTAATTATATAAAAAGCATCAAAATTGCACGGAACAAGGTCGAGTACGATGTGACTCATGTGAGGAATTCTGAGGTTTGTGTTATCTGCCGAAGCCGTGCAAGAACTGAATTCAATAATTGTTTTATTATTTATTTGTCGGAATATACATAAAAAGTCGGTGAACCTTTCCTTTGAGGAAGCCATTTGAATTTTCCATTTTAGCCGGATAAATAATAGCATGACGTCATAGCGTGTTAATACATTCACTGTGATACATTGTTTTTCAATATACCACGAAATTACATATGGCATGTTTGTTTTGAATATTCCATGGCGATGTCATAATTAACTTCAAATTTGGACGGCTATACCAACTGGATATGACGATTTTACTGACAGCTCTCAGCCAATCAGAACTCTTGACTTATTTTCAATAAATAACATGTATTATTTAGTATAATAGTGTAATATATTGTAAAACACAACCCACAACCAGTTTACAATTGTGACATCATAGGAACCTCCCGTGCAAGTTTTGCGCTTCGCCTCATGCAACCTCGGTGCAGAAGGGTTGGTTTTTGGTCAGGGTTGAAAACCAAACTGCTCACGAAATGCCCACAATAGGACAGGCGTTAGAAAGAAATACATATGGTATACGTACCGGAAGAATTGTTTTGAATCTCTGTCCTATTTCGGGCATGGTATAAAACTACCTCCATGGAGAAAAGCTGTCAATATGCACATGCTCAGGAGAAACACATTCACTAGTGCATGTATATATCAAGTATATCAAGTAGTGTATGTGAACCAGGGGCGGCGGAACAGGGGGGGCTAGGGGGGCTAAAGCCCCCCCAGAAGTAAAAGTGGGGGGGCTTAGCCCCCTCAGAAACAAAAGTGTATTTCCGAAAAAAATTTTTGATATAAGTCCGAAAAAAATTTTTTCGTCCCTTTTTTTGTATATTGTATCCCTAAAGTGGTACACTGACCGAAATTTTTTTGGCGACGGGGGGGGGTGGAGGGGGGGGGGT